TTTGGATTAGTTAGGATGTCCCTAGAAGCATGCTGCTGCATGTTGTCTCAAGCCTCGAATGATTCTATGTATGAGAGATGAAAGCCTTGATGAAATTATCTCATGAAAATTTCTACCCAACAAGGCTTGTATTTGCACAAATCAACAAGAGCTACCTTACTCTTGACAAATGAGTTAAGAGTTTTCTGTTTTGTCCAATATAACAGAGGTACCCTTCGATTCTTAACCAATCTTTTTAAACCAAACAATTCTTACATTCCAAATATTCGAAGATTTCTCCTTGAGGTCTTTGATCAAACCAATCAAGACCTAGACAAATCACAAATCTGTGTTTATGATCTAATATCATGAGTCCGTGATAGTAGTGAAGCCCAAAATATCATAAACCTTAAGTAATTGACGGGGAACCATGTTCCAGATCTTACGAAACATTTGTTTCAGTACCTTTTTGTGACAACCCTATTTTTCCCAAAAGCATTGTAAACACTCGAAAGCTAAAAACAACGCAATTAACCTCGAAAATAAAGTGTTCAAGTATCTAAGTTGGGATGCATCAAATATTAGATATCATGCCAAGGTTTCCAAAAACATAAAGAACGCTCAAAACCGGGTTATATTGAAGAAATTATAACCACTCGTATATTTACGACCCGTCGTTAAAACATTATTGGACGTAAAAAGTAAAATATCAATAAAATGCATTTTAGCCTTAAGTATCTAAACAAAAGTCGTAGATCTCGTTGAAAGGTGAACGTGCATAAAAAGATCGCCCAAATTGGACCTCGTATGAAGAAGTTACAAATTTTCAAAGTTTCGTAACGGTAGTAGAGGGCTAAAAACTCGAATTGAAGTTCGAGTGTTAATTAGCTAACGCAACCTAAATGAGAGTTGAAGATCTCCACAATAGTAATAAAACAATAAAAAGACAAACGAAAACCGACGTCGAATAAAGAACCTATGAATTTTTAACGAACTTTAGGAGGCCCGGCCTATTAAAAATATATCATTAAAAATAAGTTCAAAACTAGCCGACGGAGTCTAAATAAAAGTTGTAGAGCATAATCTCACCTACGCGTGGATATAAAGAACGCGAAAAACGGAGCTCGTACGCGAAAGTTACGGAATTTAGAAGTCGGAAGCAGGGATTACGCCCCGCGTAATCTGGGAGTACGCCCCGCGTACTAGACCCAGAGTCGAGTCCCATCGGCCCGCCCAAGCTACGCTTAGCTAGACTCGAGTCGTAAGCCATGACGCATTTTTACACCCAGCGTAACGACGTACACGCTGCGTACGTGAGTACGCCCCGCGTACTCCAAAATTACGCCCCGCGTACGAGGCAATTCCAGCCTATAAATAGAAAGGTTCAGCTGCGAATTTAAGCACACATTCTTAAACCTCTAGATACTCTCACCCCTTTCCAAGCACCAGAGACCATTCCCTCACCTCGGTTTCCGCACTCGAGCCCCCGACGAAAGATTTACGCTGCAGAGATCCCCGAAGAGCCGACGACGCAACCATCCGCGGTCGAAGTTCTGCTCAACCCTAGCCCCTCTCTTCAAACTTAACGAGTGAGTTCATACTCCTATAATCTACATTTTTATCAATATTGTTTTAATATACACTTTTGAGGGGGGAATACAAGTAAACACACGATTATTATCGTGTGTAACTCAAAGTTTCACTAAATACTCATTTTTATCAAGTAAATCATATGTGATTCATAACCGTTATATGAAATCTTTCGTACAGAAAACATAACACAATATCATCTGATATATATTGAAATTAAATATGTTGTTATACGTATACGAATCAAACAGTTTATTTATACTATGAGTACAGGTGTTCATTTATGTCACCACAAAAAGTTACACATTTCATAACAAGTGAGCATTACACTAGGGTTACTATCCGAACGAAACGAACTTTTGGAAAAACTATAATAGTTTACGACAAACATTGTTACATGTTAAAAACTTTTTTATGAAACTGTCTTACATACTTTATGTTTCCTTTCAAACACCATCGGAATCGTATTTCAAACAAAGGTCTTCCGATACTAAAAATTTGTTCTTGTCAAAACAAACTATTTACAATCTGTTTTATAAACATAATTATAATATTTTTATTATAGGGTTTTGATACAAAAATAACTTTATGTTAAGGGCTATTATATCACCAAGTTGTTATTACCAAATGGGAACATACTTTTGAGAAACTATAATGAGTGTAGGGTTCAAGTGATTCATACATTTTACATATACATCTCGACAAATGAAATGCTTTCAAAAGGGGTAAAGTCTTTATTATCGTAAATCTGCTTATACCAAGTAATGTGAGACAATTGAACTTCAACATACTCGTATGTATGCAATTCAAGTCCTGTATTATATATCTTAATCTCTTGGAGAGAGAGCGTGATACTTGTGTATAGATCTATACGGGATTGACAATCCCACACCTAAGCTGTTAGCTACAGCTAGGCCGGCAGGCCTGGGGTGACAAATGTCATAACAGTTCCAACGCCTGAAGAACGTTGTTACAGGCCATCAGGGTCATTAGCATGGTTATAAAACTCACAGAAAAGTATAAAAACAAGATTGATTTACGGAGTTTTCATATACCTTAGCAATTATAACTGTACACAAATCTACTATTTTAGACATGAAAAACATTACGGTAGTTTCATTTTGGGACTTTTAATGTACCATCTACATATGAACACATATTGGATTTTTGAAACAAACATTTAAAACAGTCGAGCCTTGGTAGAAGGCTACACTTTATACTAGTAGAAAATATGGGATTTTCTAGAAGTTTCAAACGTTTACAATTACTTACAAACATATTCGTTGGTACAAAATTTCTTTCAAACAATTACATGTCTTTCTTTACAGCTTTACAAATCAAGTCACATAAATACTTATGAACTCACCAGCATTATTGCTGATACTCGCTTTCAAAATAACTTGTATTTCCAGGATACGAATAGACAGGTACGACTACCAGGTTTTGTGAAGACGGAGCGATCAAGACTCATCTTTTATTTCTGAATATTCATTTTTGTAGAATTATACTATGAAAGAACTCAAATGTAATTACAATTATACTATTAATGCAATGGATGATGTTGTTGCTTGTTTACTACTTAGCATTGTTATGATACATTACATGACGTCCTCCGCCCCAAAATGTTTCCGCCGTTCTCGGTTTTGGGGTGTGACACTTTTATACTCCAAATCATATTCATTTCTTTTGAGTGATCTTAATAAAACATTCGAAAACTACGATGTATGTTCCCAACAAGATCCAACATAAATGTTTTTTTTTATGAATATGATTTCCGTGTGAGTATATTTTCAAAATACTAGTTACTTTGAATATCATTCGCAACAAAGTTGTCACTGACTATACTGGTTATACAACTAATTTTGTTTACAATTTCTCACCTTATTTTAAGGTAGATATGTAACGAAATTTTCGAAGCCACCCATTTGACCTATAAAAGAAACCCTTCGAAACTTCTCTACAAATTATCGATTGTAATTCACAGGAAACCAAACAAGCTGTTAATTATCTCTCTTGATAATTTTCGAAGATATCTTTGCTTGGGATAAAATTGTTTTTGTGTCAAAAAGAAATTGTTGACATCACAAGTTTTCAAAAGTTTTTTTTTCTTGTTTCTCATCTAATTTCCTTTGGAACACAGCACACACGAAATCCTTGAGGTTTGAGTAACACCAACTTAAACTGACGATTTCGAAATTCTGGAAAATGACTTCGCTTTTTCAAACCTCAAAGTGAAAGAGCCTGACCTCTATTCCGAAGGCATCCGACGATTACAATTCTTTTGGGGAATACCAAACAGTCCTATCTCTTGATGACACATGGTGTATGATAAGCGTGTAAGGCGTCTTGATAGTTACGATTGTTACTTTTTGATGAGTACATTCCGTTTTTCAAGGTGCCATGTCAGCAAGCATTTAATGCATACCGCTTCAAATTCAAAATTCTAGGGTTACATATAAAAGGGAAAATCAGAACTCATTAACACTTTACGGGATCAAACTCTCTGAAATACAAAATTCTCTATGCAATTCATCTTCTTCATATGTTCTTTACTCAAATCATCATCAATGGCGACTACTTCATCACCAACTACAGACTAAATAATCAGTGTTCCGATTCTAAAGATCCAGGGCTCCAACTATCAAGTTGAATCGGATTTATCAAAGTATCTGGAGGAACTTCACATGCTTGTGGTTGCTTTACAGAATTCAGTTCTGTCTAAAGCAATGTTTGATTCATTTGCTGCTCCGATGTCCTGGTTGTCAGAGGCGGGTTCTACTGCATCATACAACAAGGAGGCAGGTTGTGTGGAATTCACAATGGTTAATGATACGAGAATTAGGGTCTCCAAGCGGTTATTTTGCAAGATTATGGGAATTCCGAATTCTGGTCCTTATGATGAACTTTCTTCTTCACAAGTGGTGTTCCTGTTCAAGGAGATGGGTCATCAACCTCCATTGAAGCGAATTAGTGATTTCAAGAAGTCGGGGTTACCAATAATCTGGAATTTTTTATTTGGCATCTTTCTTCAATGTCTTACTTGAAGAATTGTGGGGCTTGATAAAGGAAGGATGGAGGTGTATGCAATGATAGCTAGTTTGTACTATGATTTGCAAGTCGATTACTCTGAACAATTATGGACAGAGTTCATAACAAGCATTTCGAAGACAAGTGCTAAGCAGGGGATTTCTTGTGCATGATATTGGAGTCTGATAGTCCAATATGTCTATCAGAAGGAAAAAATCGAAGTTCCAGAATACGAAGACAAAACAGTTTTCCACATGTATGGTAGTCCGAAGGAGGTGCATGATGATCCGGCTATCTTTAACACAGTTGCTCGCATTCCGGATGCAATGCTCAAGAAGGTGGATCCCACGAATAATGTGTTGGTGTCATATTTGCAATCTATTGACACAACCGTTGTTACTGGGATGTTACAACAAGAAGAGAAGAAAAAGTCGAAGAAATCAAATAAGACAGAGGGTGAGTCTTCGAAAAAAGGGGTGAAAGCAGAACAAAAGAATAAAGAGTTAATAGTTACATCTCGAACTGTCGAAGAGGTGTCCCCTGTTTTAACTTCAGTGGCTGATACACCGGTTATCAAAGCCTCTCCATCAAAAGAAACGATTCCTTCGACGACGGGGTTTTTTCGAAGAATAAAAATCAAGAGAAAATCTCAGTTGGTGAAGAAAACACAGGTTACTCATCAAGGAGTTACCGTTCGAGAAATTCTAGCTCCGGTGTCTCCATCTTCTAAGAAACGAAGGGCTGAAGATATGGCGAAATTTTTAAAGAAAACCCAACGTATAGAAGAAGTGGATCAAGTTCCTGAGACTCCTGAAGATGAAATTTCTAAAGAAGTAGAGATTCTTCAATCTACTGAAATTTCGAAGCTTGATGATATAAAGCTCATTGAACCAACATCTTTACCTCAGGTTACTTCCACAACTGATTCTCCAACATTCCAATCTATTATGGATCAACCTTTCACCACTATATTCTCAACACAATCAACCGATCCACCAAATCCATCAGCACCTATTGCTGAAACCATGGCTGTTGATGAGGAAACTGATAACGAAGGATTTGGAGGAACATTCAAAGCTCTTTCCTTTGATAAAGCTGAAGAAGATTTCCCTGACCATATGCTGATGACAATGAAGCAGTTCAAGATCTTGAATTCAAAATTAAATTCTATCTTGCAATCTCAAGCGGATGTGGGAAGTGCTGGAATCACTATCATGGAAGTTGATTCCATAATGAAGGAAATGGAAAGCAGGATGATTTTGAAGGCATCAGGGTTAATACGTGATTCTGAAAGCCGCATTCTTGAGAAAACTGATCAGAATGATAGTTCTACAGAGAATAGAATCAATTCTATGAGATCTGATTTTCTAAAGGAAGTGAAGGATTTGAAGATTGTTACGAAGGAGCATCATTTGCTCTTTGTACAGGAAGTTAAGAAGGTTCTAGAAGACGTTAATATGCAAATTCGTGAACTTCGTGAAACAATGACGAAGGAGGTTCAGCATATTCAACAAGGGTATGAATCAGCATATCAGAAGATCGACATTATTTGTGATGCGGTTGTTCAGTGTGTTAATATGTTCGAACAATTCAATCCTCAAATGATCTCTCTTTCAGCCAAAGAAGAACAACATTTTGGAGAGTTGGTGAAACTACCCAAGAAATATCTTCGAAAGTTTCTTCACCAATTATTTCTCAAGAATTTCTTTCTTAGAAATTCATTCATTTCGAAGCCATTCTACAAAAACACCTTACTCCATTACTTCGAATTTCAAGCCTTTTGCCAAACGTATCAGATGCCCCACCTGCTGTCACAGGGGTGCAAGGGGGAGAAAAGGTTGGTCAAGCAAAGGCTGGGGAACATGAGAAGAAAACTAAAGATATGAAGGTGGTAGGAAAGGTTTATCCTTCGAAAGTTGTTGTTAAGCCAACAATTGTTTCAGCTGCTCCAGTTATTTCAATTGTGACTACAACTGTTCCAATTTCAAGACCTATTGCAAAAGGGATTGTAATTATGATTCAAAGTGATGTCTCTTCATCAAAGAATGTAGCTCCTTCGAATGATAAAAACAAGGGAAAAGGAGTTTTAGTTGAGAAGTCTAACAAAGAGAAGAAAGCTGAGGTGGCAGCTAAAATTGAAAGAATGAGGCAAGTTGAAAGTATAATGCGACAAAGAGCTCTAGAAGGTTCGAATGTTAATAAGGGGGATCCTTCAAAAATGTACAATTATGAAACAATAGAATCCAGGGTGATGTTCGATCACATGTATTCTTTTGAAAAGATTCCCAAGAAGAGCTTTGTGGTGACAAATACTGATTTTGGTCAACTTGATTTTCCAATCAACGAAATGATGTTCGTTATGCCACAGTTCAAGGCTGAGATAAAGTCTATGGATACAGAAGAGGGAAAGAAGATGAAGATACGTTTTCATGTAGTATTAGCAAAGGCTCAAGAAGAAGTTTGGTTCTTGGAGAAAATTAAGAAGGTGATATCTATAAAAAGGGATGTCATTTTCGAAGAGAAGTTTCAAAATGTAAAATATGTTGTGGCAAGGGCGAGTGGAAAGATACAAGAGTTTACTGTGGCGGACTTTCCATTGATGAACACTTATGATCTTATCAATGTTGCCCTGATACTTAAAGACAAGTCATTCTCTTTTCTCCAAGATATAGAACTAGATGTTTTCAGTCTTGGGTGTAGGCACATAAAAATATTCTTGGAGAATTATTTTGAGTGCTTAGCTCAAACTGATGTTGCACTTGCTATTGTTAAAGGCTTTGACATAACTGCACCAATGGCTCCTACGAAGAAGCAGGTTGAGTTGAAAAAGTACGAAGATGGTGAAATATGCTTAAAGCCAATGGGGATTGTCTTTGCAGGAAAGGATAAAGATGGAAGAGCTAAAATATTTTTGTTTCAAACTTTTGAAGTGGAGAGATATACAAATTCACAATATACGAACTTAATTGTTCATATGAATCATTGCAAGAAGAACTCAGAAGGAGACAAGAAGGAGATAAAGAAAGTTATATCCTGGTATACGGAAATCCGAAGAGTGTTGATGTATGCCGTTCAATTACTAACTTCATGAAGACTTCGACCTTTATTCCAAAGGGGGGGATTGTTAGAGTTTAAATGTTGTAATATGTCGAAGTGTTAGTTGTTACGAAGGGTCTTTAGTCTTCGTAAGAAGATTCTTCAGAAGTAATGTTATTTTTACTAAGGCATTTTAATGAATAATCTTAATGTCTAGTCCTTAGTATTTTTATTATGCTTTTGTACTCCTATAAATAGGGATCTGTACTAAGTGAGTAGTAACTTTTCACTGAGTCTTTACAGAATATTCTTTGTACTCTGTAAAATCAAGAGCATAATATGAGCTGAACCAAGATTATATTTACTCTGGTGTTCATCGTTTTTCTTCTTTCTGAATTCTTACATGAATTGATCTAAAACTCGATTACAAATCTCTTCAGCCATGACAAAAATTACAGTCTTAGTCAGATTCACCTGCGAGCTTCTTTTCCTTCTTTGCTTCATCCTTTTAAGAGTTGCTCGCACTCTCATCCATCACTTGCTCAAAACTATAAATCCCCTTCCAGTTTTGGTTTTTGTTGCGACCAAAATTCTTCTTTGCGAACCTCTTTGGGTTGGACACCAGGAATGTAACGCTATGAATCTCAGGTATTGATTTATATGAAAGTTTATTTGGTTTGAAGATCTACTCGACGAGTTTGGACTCCCTACTCATCGAGTAGCAGTGGGGTGGGATCGCGTGTTTAGTGGCCTACTCGCCAAGTACATGGAGGACTCGACGAGTAGGAGCTGGCAAAAGGAACCCTGGATCCTGGGGTTTTGCACCGTATTTAAGGAAGCATAAGCCTCCTTTGGCCTCTTTATAGTCCTTGAGAGCTCTGAAAACCCTAATTCATACGGTGCTTCATCCTTGTGTGTCTTAAACTTCGGAAATGAGGTTTTTGGAAAGGAAGAACTTGGAGGGCAAGAGACTGAGAGAAAGGAAGGTGTGGGAATAAGAAATCTACCTCATTTAGCATCATTTTGAGGTATCAAGTCGTCACCTTTACTTCATTTTCCTTCTAGACCTCATTTGGTTGAGATTTAGGGTTTTTATGGTTTGATTGAGATGATAGTGTGGGATATTAGCTAGATCTGAAGTTGTAACTTCAGATCTGGAACCTTCTTGGGTTCTAGATCCATAAAGCTCTGAGCTTGGTCATGTATGAAGCCTCCTTGAGTATGAAACCCCCATTGTGAGCTTGGATTTGACATTAAGAGCCTTTTAGCCATGCATGCACGTAAAGTTGCAATGCATGCCTTAGAAGCTTGGATCTGTAATTTGGAGCCACTGCATGGCTTAAATGAGTCTGTATGGCTTAAGGGTTGAAGGAAATCAACGAGTCACAAGGTTGACTCGACGATTCATATGAAGATAGGCCTTGACCGACGAGTTGGATGAACAACTCAGCGAGTCCGATGAAGATTGTCATAGAACTCGACGAGTTGTATGAACAACTCGGCGATTCGGTTGAGGTTTCCCCAATTTATGTATGCATGTGTAACCGTTGAGTTGCAAAGAAAGAAACTCGACGAGTGGCCTTAGAGTTCAATCATAAACCAAAGGAACTCGGCGATTGGGCAAGTACTTCAAGGAACACGGCGAGTAGCCGAGGGTACTCGGCAAGTTATGGTGAACATGGACTGTTAACCTTGAATGATGACTTTGATTTTTACCAGGGTTTGATTAGTTGGCTTCTGGGGTACCTTGAAAGGTTGGGAACTTATGGGTATAACTATATTATGGTAATAGGTGGTGGAGTTTTTTACAGTGATCCGAGAGTTGGGTTTTATCTACCGAGTCGACATCTGCAAGGTGAGTTATCGTCACTATATCAATAGGGTCTGCGGCACCAAGGTCGGCCTTAAGTTGTTATTGTTATGATGTGCTACATGTGGTTATGATCTGTTAGATCGGAATCATGATAGACAGTATATTATGCTCTTATGATCCATAGGGATTGGTATGTTAGTGACTTGCTAGGTCGGTACTGTAGTTATGAGAGATTTCTATGATTGATGATCAGTGAGTTAGATGTGTTTGATGTTTGTATATGCTAATATATGATAGTTATGCGCACATGGTTATTTTCTTGTTGGTTAGGTTGAGGCGGTCCGACTTTGTGCTGAAGGTCAACATACCCTATAAGCAGTCCGTGGAGACTGTAGGCCTACGTGGCGGTCCAGTCATGCTGAAGGCTCGGGATAGGATCAGATAGACTGAAGGCCCTACATGACGGTCCATTCAGGCCGATGGCCCAGTGTGCATGTTATTGATTATCTGTTACTGATATGGTATTATCAGCATGGTATTGGTATTTTGGGGGTAGCTCATTAAGCCCTCGGGCTTACAGTTTTCAGTTTATTGTTTCAGGTACTTCAGGAGATCATGGCAAGGCGAAGGCGTGACCGCACCGTTCCTCATCCTTTTGATCTAGTTATTGGGACACTTTAATGAACAATGATTTGAAAACATTTTGTAAAGAAATACTATTTAGTTTAATTATGATTCAAAAAGCTTAAATTTGGCATAAAATTTTTGGATGTGACAATCAAGGCACTATCTTCCTTGGATTGTTCACAATCGGAAAAAACCTTTCCATCACGTTTTACTTCATCTTCATGTGACCTTAGAATACCAATGAGCTTTTCCACTAAGTAATTTTTGAACTACCTATGTGCTTTGACTCTTGACAGCTTTCCACTCAGACCTTACCTTGTTCCTAAACATTACCTTCTGCTCTATCAGTTCACGTTTGATCTTGTGCTTCACCATCCTGCTCAATAGATAGTTTTAGCGATTGAAGGTTTGGTCCAAATACTCCTTAGGATTCTGAACGAAAGCTCCAAACTACAAAAGTAATAGTGTATGGATGGAATGTTAAAGATCAATATCCCTTGAGTAGAGCTCTCTAATCCTATCCCATATCTCTTTTGCAGTTTCACGGGAGCTTACTAAGCGAAACGGATGATCCTCATTGTGTTACCATTGCTGGTTATCTTGTCTTTTTCATATTTAGGAACACCATTAACTTTAAGAAGAAGATCGTTGTACTCAAATTGAGTCTTGATAACTCTTTTTGTACCTGTATGAGCAAAAGTCTCCTTAGTAATGGCATCCCATATCAAAGATCCATTATTTTCCAGACACAGCACATAATCTTCAAAGTGTAGTGCCCATACTTCATAATCGTTTGGAAACAAAATAGGGATCCTTGTTGTAGATTCGATACCGCTTAAAGAGATTCATGGAATTGGCATGAGAATCATCGCGCTGCATGTTATCGATTTGAGAAAAACCTGTATGAACTAGATGTGTAAACCTAAAAACAATTTTACGGTAAAACAAAGATCAGGATTCAATGTCTGTAATCGATAAAATTGAATAAGACTGCAAATTTTAGATCCTATTAATGCGAAAACCCTAATAGCTCTTTAACAGAAGAGATGTGTTAGTCTCCTACTCTAATACTAATTGTTAAGAATAAATCTTGAGTGATCGAAATATTGAAACAGGTAAATATATCAAGAACACAAAATGAAGATCAAATATGTCAAATGATTAAAAAATCACAAGCCTTAGAAGTTCTCAATGAAGAACTACTATTGTAAAGGTTGTGTGGGGTTTACAAAAGTGATGATTACAAGACACCGTGCGTGCATGCACGTTAAATAGTAAAATCCTAATAATAATTAACGGGTGGACGTGCCCATCCTGGTTACAAAATGGACTAAACTAAAATCCCACAATGACGCAACACTTAAGACTTAACAGGTGCAACGTTTAGTGAGAAAGTTCCAGGATTTACCA